TATATATATACATTATATACACACACTGCCTATACGAGTATAGCTACAACAGTGCTCACCCTGGTATTCCTGCAATCATGCAATCCAAGCTCATCTATGACTCTGGTAACCCTTAGTTGTTTTTCTTCTTTGCTTAGATGAGCCGGAAGGCGCAGTTGTGCGGAGAACATCAAATTTTCTTCCACCGAAAGTGTGCCCATGACGACATCATCCTGAAAATCACCGTTACATTAGCAACCATATCCTAGCTACGATCAACCCAAGTACCTACAGTAGTCAATACACACAACGCCGCATCACCATGGCGACGAATTTTCATTACGATATAGCTCGCCAAATCCGGCTGCCACCTCGAAAAACTTATGTCCTTTAGGAAAAATGTTTTTAGCAATGAAGGCATCCATAGTAAGCAGCTTTGAAAAGCCATACAACCAGATTCTAAATCTAGGAAACACACGAAAGACAACCGAATGGATCTTAAAGAAAGGGTGTGCCCATTTGCACTCATACTTAATTTAGGCATGTTGTACTACTTACTAGTTAGATTGATTTTTGGTAGCTTAACAAGGGACAAAGACGAGCACCAAGTCTCACAGTACTGCCTGCTATAGGTGGACATGTACTAATTGGTGAAAAATAGATTTAATAAGGTCAAGGATAAAGGGTGCAGTGGTTTTCAGGGTGGATGGATTGAGGAAGCACCTCATTTAAGTACGAGTAACATCAGGAGTTAATAAAGACAAATTTGTCTTTATTAACTCCTGGTAACATGCACCTGTACGACGTAGCCTGTCATCAGCTTCCAGTTTGCCGGCAATGGATGGCCATTGACTAGTACATGTCCAGAGAGACCGGAACGCTGCTTCCTATCAGCTATGATGTCCAACAGTCTACCCGTACAACAATCGCCAACACAACGTAATGATCATGAACACGGCAAATCGTAGCTTTTGAACGAAACACGATCAAACAATTGTGGAAATGTAAGCTCATACTTGTTCTCAATTAAATTAGGTTGTCATCAGACCAACTTCTCATCGCTTTACACAATTGCACATGCAATTAACAAAGTTCAACTTACGAGGATTTCCCGCTTCCCGTTGGACCGAGAATGGCATTCATTCCTGGATGAAGCTTTGTACTTTATAACGAAAACGTGTTAAAAACATAATTATCACTTGCACCCTGTGAAAATTTGACTTCGAAAAAAGTACCATATATGAAAATTACGATAGATTTAGTATATAACTGATTAAAAAGTCAAGTGACATACATCTCACATGCTGTGTTTGATAACATTTATCCATACACTCACATGAACATATAGCAATATTATATTACGTTACTCGTATTCATAAACGACTATCTTACCCTTACAGAATAATAATATTAATAATATCAGCAGTGAATAAAAATAAATTGTTTTTAATATTTTTTCTCATTGTTTTTATTCACTCATGATGATATGCGTAATTGTGATAGCCAACGTTGTGCAAGTTCTTTAAAAAATTATATGTTTGCTGTCCTCCGACCGACCCACGAAAATAGCTGCGACCCAAAAGTTTTTTTTGACATTTTGGGTTCCACCATATATATATATATATATATTTTTTTTTCTAATTTTTTATAGTTAAGACTGAAACACAAAGCATGTGTGGCAAACATGAGGACAGACTTAAAATAACTATTATGCCTCACAAAAAAAAGACCTACCTACCTACCCACTAAAAAAATCATGGGTCGGGGGACAGCAAACATAGAATTTTTCAAGGATGGCCCAAAGTGCGCAAATAAAAACGGTTTTTAACTGAAAGCAATTTTTTTGGGCGGGGAAGGCAGGTCCATTAGATTTTACTTGCACACCAGACCTGACCGCACACCTGACACTGTTTTCCCACAGCTCGACCACCCGGGGGGGGGACACTCCCATTGTTAAAGGTACTGGGGGCGTGCCGCTGGACAGGGTATATTTTCCGAGTATCATTATTGGCACAGGGTATATTTTCCGAACATCATTACTGGCACAGGGTTATCTAGATACACACGTCCCAGATAACATGCTGACATTAGGCCAACGTTGGCCCAACGGCTGTCTTCAGCCCATGCCAACGTTGGCTGCCAACGTTGGCCCAACAGATTTTTGCTCGTCGGGGCAACGTTGGCCGAACGTTGGCAGGCGATGTTGGCCCAACGTTGTCATTTTGCCAACGTTGGCCCAACGGATTTTTGCTCGGCGGGCCAACGTTGGCCCAACGTTGGCAGCCGACGTTGGCCCAACGTCATTTTGCCAACGTTGGCCCAACAAATTTTTGCTCGCCGGGCCAACGTTGCCCAACGTCATTTTGCCAACGTTGGCCCAACGAATTTTTGCTCGGCAGCCCAACGTTGGCCCAACGTCATATTGCCAACGTTGGCCCAACGACATATTGCCAACGTTGGCCCAACGTCATATTGCCAACGTTGGCCCAACGACATTTTGCCGACGTTGGCCAACGGATTTTTGCTTGGCGGGCCAACGTTGGCCCAACGGATTTTTGCTCAGTGCGCCAACGTTGGCCCAACGTCATATTGCCAACGTTGGCCCAATCGCTTTTTGCTCAAGGTGCCAACGTTGATTTCTTCCTCAAACACTCCCTCTTTGGTTCTCTCTCTCTCTCTCTCTCTCTCTCTCTCACACACACGCGCGCGCGCCTCTTTCTTTTCTCTCTCTCTCTCTCTCTCTCTCTCTCTCACACACACGCGCGCGCGCCTCTTTCTTTTCTCTCTCTCTCTCTCTCTCTCTCTCTCTCACACACACGCGCGCGCGCCTCTTTCTT